ATAAAATAAAATAAAATAAAATAAAATAAAATAATAAAATAAAGGAAGGCATAGGCATAGGTGGGAAAAAGGTGTGCTGAAAGGCCCTTCCTTGAAAAACAGTATTCCCACCCTGGTGTTTGAGTCCTTCTGGTGGGTCTTTTCCGTTTCATTGTGTGGCCACTTGGGGGCCCTTCCACACTGGAGGCTGTGTCCTCATTCTGAGAATGTTCGGCTCTGTTGCCTGTTCTCCATTTTCTCTGTTCTCTCTCTTTTTAGCTTTAAAAATGTTATTCTTAAGTAATCTCTGCACCCAGTGTAGGGCTCAAACTCATGACCCCAGGATCAAGAGTCTCACGCTTCACCGACTGAGTCAGCCAGGCACCCCTCTGTTCTCTTTCTTGTAATTTTATTAGTTAGATGCTGGACCTCCCAAATCAATCCTGTATTTGTTCTTATCTTTTGTCTGACATTTTTCATCTCTGTGTTTTTAATTCTAATTTCTGGAGCCCACCCTTAATGTCCAACATTCCTATTGACTACAATATTAGCTTTTCATGTTATTTTTATTTTCCAGGTCCCTCTTGTTTTAAGGCTTTATTTGGGGTATAATTTACATATCATAAAATCTACCCGCTCCTTTAAAAAATATAGTCTTTATTTTATTTTAGTTATTTTTTTTAAGGGAGGGGGGGTGCAAGTGAGCAAGGGGGCATAGAGAGAGAGACAGAGAGGGAGACAGAATCCCGTGAGGGGCAGACAGAGAGAGAGAGAGAGGGAGAGAGGGAGTGGGGCTCACCCAAAGCAGGGCTTGTGTTTTACCCAGAGTGGGGCTCGTGCTTACCCAATGTTGGACTCGAACTTGTGAACCTTGAGATCATGACCTGAGCCAAAGTCAGATGCTTAATGACTGAGCCACCGAGGTGCCCCAGTAGTCTTTATTTTTTTGAAGACTTTTACGTTCACGGCAAAACTGAGAGGAACGTACAGAGGTTTCCTATGTAGCCCCTGCCCCCACACATGCACGATCAACGTCCCCTAGCAGAGTGGGACATTTGTGACAGTGGGTGAACCTTCACTGACACATCATCATCACCGCAAGTCCATAGTTCACACAGGGCTCCCTCTCGGTGTCGTACATTCTATGGGTTTGGATGGACGTATAACCACATCCCACCACTAAGCATCATATAGAATAGTTTACTGCCCTAAGGACCCTCCGTGATCCACAGATTCGTCCCCGTACCCCCCGGCAACCGTGGATATTTCTACTGTCTCCAATAGCTTTGGCTTTTTCATAGTATCACGTAATTGGGATCATACAGCACGTAGCCTTCTCAGAGGAACCTCTCTGACTCAGTGATGTACATCTAAGGTTCTTCGCTGCCTCTCGTGGCTTGGTAGCTCGTTTCTTTGTAGTGCTGAATAATATTCCGTTGTCTGATGGACCACAGTGTATCCACTCACCTACGGAAGGACACCTTGGCTGCTTCCAGGTGTCGGCAGTGGTGAACGAAGCTGCTATGTTTGGGTGAATAGCAAGGAGTGTGGTCGCTGGGTCATATGATAAAGAGTACGTTTAGCAACGTAAGAAACGGCTGAACTGTCTTCCCCAGTGGCTGCACCCCTTTGCACTCCCACCAGCAACGATTGAGAGTTCCTGTCATGCCACATCCTTGCCAGCATTTGGCGTTGTCGGTATTTTGGCTTTTGTGGTTTTGTTGTCTTAATTTGCAATTCCCTAACGACATGTGATGTGGGGCCCCTGTCCACATGCTTACTTGCCATGTGCATGTCTTTTAAAAAACTTTTATTGTATTTTATTTTTCGAGAGCGACAGGGTGCAAGTGACTGAGGGAGGAGAGAGAGGGAGAGAATCTCACGAGGGACAGAGAAGCATGCTCACCCAAAGCGGGGCCCAGACTCACCAGATCTGCAACTTGAACTCATGAACCGTGAGGTCGTGGCCTGAGCCGGTCAGATGCTTAACCAGCTGAGTCACCCCATCTGCATGTGTTCTTTGGTGAGGCATCTCTTCAGACCTTTTGCCCATTTTTAAATCAGTTTGTTTTCGTGCTGTTGAGTCAATTGCTCCTTTTTAATGCATGTAGTATTTTTGGTTTTGCTTTGTTTTGTTGTGTTTTATGAATGTGCATCTTCTCTTCTTTGGAGATACCAATCACAGCTGTGAGGTTTTCTTCCGTTTCCTGCGTTATCTCTACTTCCTCCATTTTTTTAAACGT